TTACTAGCACACTGTCAATCCAAGATTATAAAAAGATATAAATAATTGATAATCTTTTTCTAAATAATTGACTTTAGCTTCTATTGTATCACCAGACTTGCAGTTTTGTATTGCCACTTGATTTTTAGATTATTTGGAAGGAAGGAAGGAAGGAAGGAAGGAAGGAAGGAAGGAAGGAAGAAAGAAAGAAAGAAAGAAAGAAAGAAAGAAAGAAAGAAATTGGGTACTTGATCTTTTGTTAATCTTGGGACTTCTCTGTTAAAAGAAATAAATTTTGTAACCAAATTAACTATTTTAACCATTTTGAATTTCCATTGCTGTGACACTACAGTGATAATATGATACTGTATACTTTACTTGAAGTATAAATCATTCTGTATTTATTATATATATAATATATATATAAGTACACATAACATTTCTGTAACTTGTTATTCTTGCATACTTCTCAGGGTTTTTGGTTTTTTTTTGAGAGTCAAGGCATATAATTATTCAAAAATTTTAAATTTAGCTAAGCTGTTGATTTAATCTAACCTGTCTCCTTTTTGGCAGCTAGTTCACCTGTGGACATTCTTCACTGCCTAACATTCATTTATCAGATTTTTTTTGAAAGCCAACTGTATGCAATTATTGCACTACTTGACTTGTATACAATGATAACAATTCCTAAGTCTTTCTTTCAAGGAGCCTGTGGTCCAGTGGAGCAAGCAGATAAGTAAATACAGAGTTAGTTACATCATTATGTGCTAATTAAGTTCTGTGAAAGGGAAGATAGCATACATCTTGAAAGCACTTGAGGGACACATAACCCTTAGACTTTGTCCTGAGTAGGAGTGATTAGAGGTTGCACAGAAAATATTTCAGAGGAAATAATATGTCAACTAAGACCTGAGCTTGGAGCGAGTCAGGGTACAGACAATTGTTGATTGTTCTAGGCATAATATTAAGAGAAAGAGCCAGTAAGCTAAAGTAAGCAACTAGGCATTCAGAGCCTTCCTTTTAAATGATGTTAAGGAATTTGGAATTTAGAGTTTTGAGGGTTGAGGATGGAACTGAAGGAAGGGTTTTTACATGAAAAAGTGGGTTTGTTGTTGGAGACAACAAAGAAGCTGTCATAGATTTCCAGTCAAGCAATAATAGTGATCTATAGTGGGATAGAGGGAGCTATGACAGAAGTGGATTGGGTTTAAATTATTTAGGCAATAGAATAGACCAGATGTTACTTGTCTGAGATTGAAAATTAGGTTTGTTCACTTTAGCAAAACATAATTTGAGAGGAGGATTACTGGAAACCAATAATTCCAGAAACTGTAGATGTTAAAGAAGTAGTATGAGAATGAGCCATTCTTTGAGATTATCCACTTTACTGTTCCTCTTAATAGTATAAATAAGTAATAGCAGCTTCTACCAAAATTTCTACAACTAAATAATTGTAGTCACCTGGTTTTTGCATTTGATGACTTGTGCATAGAAATTCAGCTCCTTTTACACTGTATTTCTAGTCCCACTGTTTAGACTAACAAGTACAATCATAGTATAGAAAGCACAGTAGGAAGTGGAAGGGGGAGTCTCATGATCCACTGGTAAAATTTGAGGAGAAATTCAGTCAAACTTACTTTAATCATCTATTTGCAGATAGTAAAGATTTAGTTAGACCACTAATACTCATTTTTGTCATTAAGCAGTTGAAAAAAGCTATAAAATTAGAAGTTTATTTTTCCTAAGCTTTTTATTTTGAAATTATTGTAGACTCACAGAAGTTGCAAAAATAGTTCATAGTGAACCATAAACCCTTCACCCAGCCTCTCTTAAGGGTAACATAGTGCAGTATCATAACCAGGAAGTTGACATGGGCATTACATGGTTAACCAGACTACAGATCTTACTCAGTTTTCAACATTTTTTACTTGCAGTCACTTTTGTTTGTATAATTCTCTGTGATTTGATCCCACCCCTGTGATTTGTGTGACTACCACTGCAATAGAGATACAAACTGTTCCGTCATTACAAAGACAGTTCTTTATGCAACCCCTTTATCGTCTCCTAGCCACCATGAATTTGTTCTTCATCTCTATAAATAGCTTGGTCATTTCAAGAAGGTTTTTAAAATGGAGTCATACAATATGTAATTATTTTGGAGATCAGCCTTTGAAATTTTTCTTTTTACTAAGCAGAATGCCCTTAAGATCCATCCATATTATTGCATGTATCAGTAGTTACTGCTTTTTTTTTCTTTTTCTAAAACTCAGTTACAGTCCTCTGTGTATATGAATGTTTCATTTCCTTTAAGTCCTCTGGCTCTTGAAGGATATCTGTATTGTTTTTGGTTTTTTGACTGTTACAAATAAACTTGTTATGAATGTTCATATTACAGGTTTTTGTTTGGACATATATTTTCATTTCTGTGGGATAAATACTTGAGAGTACAATTTGTGTTGCATAGTGAGTGTATGTTTAGCTTTTTAAGGTACTGCCAAAAAGAAACTTTGCCGGATGGCTATATCATTTCACATTCTCACCAGTTGTTATAAGATCTGTTTTCTCTGCATCTTCACCAGCATTTGGTATTTTCTTTTTTATCTTAGCTATTAAGATAGATATATGCTGATAACTCGTTGTGGCTATAATTTGCATTTTCCTAATGGCTAATAATTTTCAACATTTTTTTCATGTGTTTATTTGCCATCCATATACTTCTTTTCTTGAACTATCTATGCCTTTTGCCCATTTTTCTGGTTTGACTATTTATTTATTGTTTAGTTTTAAAGATTCCTTATATGTAAATCCTTTGTCAGATATCTGGTTTGCATCTCTCAGTCTGAAACTCGTCTTTTCATCTGTAAAATTAGAATTGTCTTTTAAAATATTCTTTGTAATAGTGTGGAGATTTGACTATTACTTGAAGGGACAGGTTGTATTAAAAACAATCTTTTGACTAAGACTTAATTTGCAGTCAAAATTTTTGTAGGTTAGGTACAGAACTAGTAGTGTGTATGTTTCTTTCATGAATGATCACCAAATGAAGAAAATGCAGCTTTTAGTGGCTTACCTGAAGTGTACTTGATGTAGGGAGGCAGATTAGACACCTTCCCTGTGGCCTCAGGCATTTTACTTAGCTCTTCTGAGCAGTGTTTTCTCAGCCTATGAAGTGGGGAGAAACATATTTTAATTCCATTAGTACTAAGAAATAGCTAATAAAACTCTAAAAAGATAAAGTATATTGTAAAAGCTCTACTCCACTTTTTAAAAATTCGCTTCTTATTGTCTAGGGGACAGTTTTTCCATTGTTTCCTGTGATTTCAGATGTTGGCTTGTAGATCTTTTTGAGTCAGGAGTATCTTAAACCAGGATGAGGATATCATTTCATGTTGCTAAAACAGTTTTGTTTTTTTTTTGCCCACACACAACTCTGACTTAAGGGAAAAAAAATAAAATAGATAGAGTAAAATTAAAATCATTAATATAAAGAAAGACTCTCAAGCAAAGTGCCTTGTTTAGAGAAAAGGCTGCTAGAAGGTGCCATAGGGTAGCTGAGAAAACCACTTTTCTCCTAAGAAAGAAGCTTCTTAAGGGACAAGACATCAGTAGAGGACTCCTCTGTTCTTGAGTTTCCATTTTGAGTGTCTGGAGCCAGAAGCCCTGTGGGGTTTAGGCCTTGGCTGTATAGTTAGGGGGAGTCAGACTTGCTTGCTTTATGTTTGTCAAAGCATTGCTCAGCTGCTGTCCTGTTAGCATTTCCATAGAAGAAAACAACATTCCAAGGGTTGGCGTCTCTTGTTGGTATGTGAAATTAATAAATATGAATATAAAATATGTCACAGTGGCTGATCTTACTTCAAGTTATTTTTAAAAACTGTTAGCTAAGTAGCAGTTAGTTATATATAACCAAGTATATACTCCTATAAATAAATAAATAAATAAACAAACAAACAAATAAATAAATAAATAATAGTTATCTGTAATCAAGTATAACTTGGTTGAGTTTACCTGGCTCTGTGACTTACATGGTGTTTGATTTTGGTCAAGTAACTTAACCTTTCTGTCTTTGCATCTGAAAGCAGTATGATGATTGTACTTATTCCATAGGGTTATTCTGAGGATTAAATAAGTTAAGTGCAAAACACTTGAAACAATTTCTGATTGAGCTATTATTACCTGATTAGTAAAGTAGTTCTGCAGGAAATTACTGTTAAAAAGTTAGATCTTTTAGCTGAAGGTGTTTATGAATATGTTGTCCTTAAAGAGAATTTTACAAAACATTTTTGTTGTTGTTAGTATATATGTTTTTCATTCCAGTTATCATTGCCCATTTTATTTTGGATGTTATGCTAAAATGCTTGGAGTTTTTAGGTATCCTCAATTTGGGGACACTGGCAATTAACTAAATTTTGTTTAGTATGATTTGATTATGGATAAAGAGAAATATGGGCAATTATGTATGTGTACAGAAGAGGCATTTTACCCAATCTGTAATGACTGTGTGATTGGTTAGTGGAGCAGGAAAGTGAAGGTTTTCAGAAAGAAATGATCATGTGGGATGGATGCAGGGAGAAACATTCTATATAAAGGAAACATAGGGTTTTTTGGTTTGTTTGTTTTTTGTTTTTGAAGGCAAGGAAGGGAAGGTGAACAGTAGAGTGAAAGGAAAAGTAGGAGTAATTTTAAGAATCATCTAAAATGTGAAATTGGAGTGTCAAATAAGCCTATACTTAGACAAAGAGGAGCCACTGAATTGTTTTTTTCTGGTTTTATTGAGAAATAACTTACGTATATCACTTTATAAATTCAAGATACACAGCATGATGGTTTGATTTACATATATTGTGAATTGATTGCTACAGCTAAGTTCAGCTGAGAAATTTTTAAAGTTTGAGAAATTTCAACATTTTTCATGTTTTGAAACTTCTACTTTGATTCTGTAATAGTAAATTTTAACATAATCTATGTAAGCCAATAGTCTTTATTATATTCATGCTAAAATTTTTTATTAATTTTTTAAGGATTTCAGTTTGTTGAAATGAGCGGTCGTAAATCAAAGAGTAACAGCTTAATACAAGCAGAATATCTTTCACAGGTTAGTATATATTTGCATTAATCTGAAGGTCTTGTTACCATGCAAAGGTGATCAAAGAAATAGTCATCATTTTAACTGAAATTCTCCCCTTAGCATGTGTGAAGAATTCCTCTTTCCATTTTCAAGGGGAGAGTATCTTTGCTACTTCCTAATTTCAACCTCTTTAAGTCTTTGGATAGGTGGAATCTTACTTTACTCATGTTTTCCTAAATGTGCCCTAATTTCACTTTAGTATTATCTTCAGAGTTTTGTACTTCTTTTGTTAAATTTATTCCTAATTGTTTTATTCCTTTTGATGCTATTGTAAATTGAATTTTTTCTTAATTTTATCTTTTATTAGTTCATTGCTAGTGAATCTAAATGAAATTGATTTTTCCATGTTAATCTTGTATTCTCCAATGTTGCTAAACTCACTTATTTAATAGTTTTTTAGTTTATTCCTTGGGATTTTCTATATATATAAGATCATGTCATCTGCAAATAGCGATAGTTTTACTTTTTCCTTTCCAAACTGGATGCGTTTCATTTCTTTTTCTTGTCTGATTGCCCTGCGTAGAACTTTCAGTATAATTTTGAATAAATAGGAAGAGCAGACAATCTTACTTTGTTTTTGTTGTTGGGGAAATGCATTCAGTCTTTGACCATTGAGTATGATGTTAGCTGTAGGTTTTTGTTGATGCTCTTTATCAAAGTTGAGGAAGTCCCCTTAAATTTCTAGTATGTTGAGTGCTTTTATTATGAGCATTTAATGTTTTCTTAAGTACATGTATATTTCTCTTAAGGAACCCAATAGGGAATGGACTTAATATTTTTACCTTGGCATTTCTATTTTTCTGCCTTGACCAGAACTACATTTTTTAAAAATCAAAACTAAATATTATTGACATCCCTTTATAAGACCTTACTTTCCTTTATTTTTTTTGAAGGAAAATGTTTAATTCTATTTTTTTTAAAAAGATTTAACTGCAGTATAATTTATATCTTTGTAATTACACAAATCTTTCATGTGCAGCTTAATTAATTTCTATACATGTATACACCTGTTTAACTTTGACCTCATATCACCTTAGGATTTTTGAACCTCGACTGTTCACTATAGCTTCACTTCACTTTATCTCTATTTTGTATTTTATACCTAGTTGTTGTCTCTGTAATGGACTTTAATGAAGTTTAAAAAAAGGAAAAGACAGAAGTTGTCTTTTGATTTCAAGCCGTCTTATGTAGGTGGAGGAATACACACTGTGATTAGTTGAATCTATATATGTCTCTTTAAGTCTTTTATAGTTATCAGGTATTGTGTAAATGATACCTATATTGCGTTACAGATAGCTGCCTTATTTAACCTTCAAAAACTGGCCTGCCAGAAAAGTGTTATTGTCTTCATTTTATAGATTAAAAACACTAAGATTTTGAAAAAAAAAAAACTTTAAAATTCACGTAATTGGCTCTTCTGGCACCAATCTTCTTATTCTTTTCACTTCCTCTATAATGATAAGTAAGGATTGTTTTATCCTCGGTGAATAATTTGCTTTACTGAGCCTCTGGTACATGTGAAAGAGAACTCAGATTTATTTCTTTGGTACGGGAAGGATCAGTCCCATGCTGTCAGTCTGGGAGAAGCAAATAATCTTGAAGGCTTCTTGTTTCTGCTGATGGGGCTAAATCTGAAACAGCTTTTTAAGGTTTTTGTCCCTGGAGGACCTTTGTATTAGCAACAAACGCAGAAAAGGAATGATTTTAATGGTCCATTTTTTTTAAAGAATGTGGTAGGTTGTCTGACATATTTTTTTGCAACTAAGTCTGAGCCCTTCATTCTAAGGCAAACTCAAAATTTAGCTCTTTACAAGAATTTTTGCTTAACTAATTCCAATGATTTCTTATTTTATAGCCTAAATGAATATTATTTCTTCTCTATAACTGAGCATTTCCTTATATGCTGGGTTACTGCTTTTTTGCATGTTGTTTCTTGAATGTGTCATTTCTTTCCAGTATATTCGTAGTATTTTTTTAGGCATAGATCCTGTTCTTTTAATAGTATTGTACTTTGCATCTAATAGGTCCTTAATAACTATATGCACTTTTAAAGTTTATCTCCTTAGAATTCTGACTTCTGTGACAGGTGCAGATTGATAGGGCTTGAGCTAAACCTGTTTAGATGCGTTGGTCTCTAGAGACGGAGGTGCGGTTTATGAGCATTATTATTAGATTTGATTACATTATTAGATTAGATTCTCTCCTGTCTTTGTTCCTTGACTGACGTGTTACACAGAGTGAGGTATTCCTTCATTCACATACATTGAAACAGCCCTCAAATTGCTGATGTAGCTAAGGTAACTAATTCTCTTGTTAAAACCTTCACAACTAAATTCTCTTACTCTGGGACTTGAGATAGGTCAAAAGAATTGTTAAATTTTACAGTTTAGTAAAATGCCAGAACTCATGATGACATGTTATTTAGGGAAGGTTGAATTGATTCATTAATACCTAATTCTGACTGCTATAAATGTGTACTCTTGTTTGTTTTTGAGTGCATGTATTTTCATTTATACTTGTTCACTTTATTTTCATCAGGTACAAAGAATTTTACGTGAAAGGTTTTGTCATCAGAGTCCACATGGTAACCTGTTTGGAGTACAAGTACAATATAAGTGAGTTTAGCTGTCCCCTTGTCTGTTATGAAACTACTTACAGATGCCCTTTAGATTTTGCAAAAATTGTCATACACACAGTTTATCGTAAACAAGGCTAACAGACATTATTATAGTTCTAAAACTTTGCCTTGTGTATAAAAACAGTGACTGTTGTGAAGCAAGAGCAGATATAAATATTTTCATAATGAAAAAACCCTTTAACTTGCAGTCTTATGTCATTTCTATTATCTGCTATTATGGAAAGAATGCCGATCTTGCACCTCATACTCAGCAACTAGCCACAGAGTAAAAAGGTCCTAAAAGTTGCCACTGTTGTCCTTTGTCCCATACCATCAAAAAGACCAAGATATTTCAGTCTTTCTTGGTTTCTTCTTGAGGTTTCCAGAGAATCAGTATCTGTGTTCTTTTGTGTAGAACTACTTAAAGCATAAGTCAAGTGCCCAGAGGAAGAGAAAAAAAGAATGCCTGTTTTTTGTGCATATTCAAATTCAGCTTTTAAAAAATTATTATCTAGCAAATTATTTCAGTTTTCTTTTTTTAAATTTTGGCCTATTTATATCATTTCAGACACTTAATTGAGCTGCTAAAAAGAACTGCTATTCATGGAGAAAGTAACTCTGTTCTCATTATTGGACCCCGAGGATCAGGAAAGACCATGGTAAAAGCTGCTGATTTCTGATGTTCCCTTACTTTGTAGGCATGTGATGATTCTTATAGACAACATTGAAAATGTTTTTCATTATTCTCTTATTAACATTTTGCTTTTTTTTCTTTTAATCATATTAGACATGTTAAACCTTTATACAGTTAGGGTAGTTTATTTGAGTTGAGCAGTAATTTTTGCCTTATTTTTCCTCACAGTAACAAGTTTTCAGTGATGTTTGCTCCATTGTGGTCTTTTGACCTTGAAGAATTTGTGATTGCCAATGGAAAAAAAAATAAACTAACATTTATCGAGCATGTTCCTTATGCCTTTTATTTATGTTCTATCATTTATTCTTTATGTTAACCTTGCAAGATAGGTATGGTATTGTTCCTCTTTATAGATTAGGTAACTATCATACCATGAGTTCTTTTTTTCTCTCTTAGTTTATTATTTAACTCTAACTCAGGTAGTTTTTTCATATCATACTCACATCTTCTAAAATTCTCTTCTACTTTCCCACTTTATTATATTTGCTTAGTTACCTCTAAAAGATACTGCTGTTTTTTCCCCTTATTTTATCTTTTCACATTCTTAATTCAGTATATAAGCAAATTATGGCTGTTATATTAAAAGTATTAATATTTAATTGTAAATTTTGTTTTCTACTATATTCCATGCAATGCATTTAGATTTCTCACTAACATACTTTTGAATTATGTGTAGAAGTAAAATTTTATATTATGTATTATTTTGTATTAAGTAAAATAATGTAAAATAGAGGTAAAATTATGTTTTCATTTTTTTAAGCAATATGTGTTGACTGTACTTTATGTAATAAGAGGAGATTAGGACTTGAGGGTATTACTGTCAGCACTCATTTACAAATGTTGTTTGAAGTACATAAATCTAGATAATTTCCTTTCTCTTCTTTTTTAATCTTTTAAGAATTCTTTATTTATTAAATTATAATCATATAGTAATTTTTAGTTTTGATGCTGTGTTTAATTTCATTCAGTCCTTCTATACAACCACTGTTTCTTTATTCTTGAGTTTTTATTATCATTATCCTTTTGTTTGACTTCAGTGCTATTTTGGGTAGGTTTTTATAGAACTATGTGACTAAGATGTTTTGAGCTGTTAGACTGTTTTAAATCATTAACAATAATTCTATTAACAATAGAAAAACTGAGCAAAGATATGCAAAAAAAGATCATAGGAAATTAATTACAAATAGGTCTTAAACTTAAAAATATAAACTTAAAAACATGTAAAATTTCACTCATAATAAAGTTAAATTAAAACTACAACAATTTTCTTTATCAGGTTGACCAAAAAAACCTGTAAAATTGATAACACATTGATGTTCTTGCTGGTAGTATAAATTAGAATCGACAAAATCTAACCATATTACAAATGCATATATCCTTTGACTCAGTAACATTTCAAGGAATTTACCTATGTGAAGTGACATATGTACAAAATTACTCATTGCAGCACTGTTTGCTTATAGTGTAAGATAAGAAACAATGTAAGGGCCCATCAACAGAGTTCTAGTTAATATATCATGGTACATCCATCCATATGATAGACAATTATTATAGCAGTAAAAAAGAAAAAGGAAACATTTGTATATAATCCGTAAAAAAAGGGGAAAGAAAAGAAGTCCATATTTCTGTTGGTTTGTATGTGCACCAAAAATTTACTGAAATAGTGAACAGTAATACAATGGGTTATTTGTTGAGGGGAATAAGACCTAGTCAAATGGAAACAGAGGTAGGAATCTTTTCACTGTGTATCATTTTATATTTTTTGGTGCATGAACTACATGACCATAAAGTCTATTTAAAAAAACTAAAGAATATGAAGTTGGTTGAACGCAAGGGGGAGAAACCCCACAACCTGGTTAACATAACAAATCACTAAAGAAGCCATTCAGACCACAGAAGTATAAAAAAGAAAGGAAGTTTAGTAATATTGGGAGATATTTTAAAAAACAGTATTTTAAATACTTCAAAAATTATTTTACACGTTACTTACAATATGACTGGGGTTGTACTCTTGGGTCATAGTTTCTTCTCCTTTGGAATTACATAGATTTTATTCAGTTTGTGTTTTGTTGGAAAACTCAAGGGCAGGCTTTTCTTTTTTACCTTCATAAACTGCTGTATCAATCTAATGTTTAGGTTATGCAGTCATAACAACCCCAAATTTCAGTATCTTAACACAAAAGAAGTTTATTGTTTACTTTTGCTGTGTGCCCAGTGTGGATCAGTAAGGGGGTATTGCAGTCACTCAAAAGAAGTGATGTAGTTTATCTCAGCATATTTCTCGACAAGCACCCCAGTGGAGGGAGGGGAGTGTGATGAATCATGGACACTTTTAATTAAAGTTCCCACCAGGAAGTGGCACAGAGACATTTCACTGTTCACTGACCAGAGTGAGTCACATAGTCACACCTAATTTCAAGAAAGCAAGGAAGTGCATTTCTCCTAAGTCCCTAGAAAGAGAGGTTAACCAGAAGTATGGTGCACATCACTGAAGACCACCACAGCTAACTTGTTAAGTTTGTATGCGATTTTTCCCTATCTGGATGCTTGTAGAATTTCTCTGTCTTAGCAATGTAAAAAATTTCACAGGCTATATCTTAAGTGTAGGTCATAAAAACTGATATAATCTGAAAACCCTCTTAATGTGAATTTAGGTCTCTCTTCAATAAAGGATAATTTTCCTTTTTTTCCCAAGTCTTCATTATTTTATCGTCTTTGCATAACACATTATCATTAATACTTTAATTCCTCAAGAAGCTCCATAGTGATACTCTTGTATCAGTACAGGAGAAAATGAGATCTAGGAACATACTGATTTCCTGCAGTTCTCTAAAGATGTATGACATTGAGCATCTTTTCATATGCTTATTTTTCATCTGTATATCTTTGGTGAGGTATTTTATGACCATTTAAAATTTTTTTTTCTTATTTGATGTATTTTAAGAGTTCTTTGTGTATTTTGGATATATCAGATATGTATTTTGCAAATGTTTTCTCCAAGTCTATAGTTTGTTCTTTAATTCTATTAACATCGCCCTTGGCCTAGCAGCTTTTACTTTTAAAGAAGCCCAACTAACTTACCAACTATTTCATGGATCATGATTTTGGTGTTACAACTAAAACTTCATCACCAAACCCAAGGTCAAATAGGTTTTTCTCCTATTATCTTCTAAAAGTTTTATAGTTCTTTGCATTTTGCATTTAGGTTTATGATTCATTTTGAGATATTTTTTGAAAGGTATAAGGTCTTTGTCTAGGTTCTTTTTTTTTTTTTTTTTACATATGAATGTCCAGTTGTTATAGCACCATTTGTTGAAAAAAACTCTTTTCTTCGATGAATTACCTTTGGTTCTTTGTCAAAGATAAGTTGACTATTTGTGTGGGTCTATTTCTGGACTCTGTTCTGTTCCTTTTATCTATATATCTGTTCTTTCACCAACACCACGCTGTCTTGATTACTTTAGCTTTATAGTAAGAATTGACGTCAGGTAGTGTCAGTCTTCTGACTTTGTGCTTCTTCGGTATTGTTGTGGCTAATCTGGACACTTCACCTTTGCATGTTAACTTCAGAGTCGATTTATTAGTGTCCACAATTTTTTTGTTCAGTTGTGGAATTTTATGTTTTATCTGTAGATCACATAGGGAAGAATTGGTTTCTTAACTGTATTGAATCTTCGTATTCATGAACATGGAATATCTCTCCATTTATTTCTCCTTTTATTTAGGTCTCTCAGTTTCATGGTTTTCCTCATAGATTTTATACATATTTTGTTAGATTTATACTGAAGTATTCACATTTTTTGGTGCTAATGTGAATGGCATTATATTTTAATTTTATGCTCTTAAGTATTTGTTGCTGGTATATAGGAAAGCAAATGAACTCTGTGTGTTAACTTATGTCTGAAACCTTGCTTATAATTGGTTACCAGTTCTAGGAATTTGTCAAGTTATTGGGATTTTCTTCATAAACAGTTGTGTTATATGCAAACAAAAAGTTTTCTTTTATAGTGTGGTTTGTTGAAGTGGTTTTCAACAGTTCATCAAACAAAATGATGTTAAACATAAAATCAGAGCCAGGGAAATACAGATATTTTATAAGTAAAATCTCAAGAGTGGGGTCAAGAACATAGCATATTACTAAGAAAATATAGGAAAGCTTATATTTTTGAGAGACCCAAGTTTGTATCATCTGGAAACTATTGTGATAGGGTCTGACTTGATCCAAAGGCAGGGAAATACCACCTTACCTTATGATGGTTTTCTGTAAAAAATATTGCCTCACCTGGGCTTTTACTCATAGTTTGACAGTTGATATTTTGAAATTGTCTTTTTTTAAGAGGACCTAGACTACCTATGATCTGAGGTGGAATCCCATATGCTTTAAAAACTACACACATATACCAGGAATAGCTAGTATGTTTGATATCCTATTGTGAAACCTAGTAAGTCGAAATGAGGGTATTTGCTTCTTAATATTGTACAGAGATGTTGCAGTGACAAACAGAGGTAGACTATCACAAATACAAATTGTATTTTGTTTTTCAAAATAGCTTGCGAGTTGTCTCAGTGCCTTTGTTGAATAATCCTTTTTGTCCTCATTAAATTTTGATGCCATCTTTACTAATTTTTTAATAGAGCCTATTTCCTGGACTGTATAATTTGGGATAGTACCCTTCTGTTTTAATATTAGAAGGTATAATCCACCATTACTCTTTCTTTTAGAAAGCTTTTTTGGTTTTTCTTAATTCTGTTCATTTCCAAATTTGAGAAAATGTATGCAATATTAATATGAAGAGATTTATATGATATTGCAGTATGAGTGATACATTGTCACAAATCAAAAAATATAAAGAATGCATGTATGTGGTGTAAAAACCTGTAATTATAAAAATGTGAAGCTTTATAATTGAACAGTTTAAGGTAGTATAACACTTTCTAGGTGTATTTTTAGTAATAATTACTATTATATTTTAAACATTATTAGCAGTTTTTTTTATTGTAAGCTCTAAGTTTTTTAAATAAGGGCTTTCTTTACATAAACAACTAACAGAGGCAATATCTCCTTTTCAAATTAACCTTTAATATGTCTTTTGACTTTCATTTCATAACATACAGAGTGGTTCACAGTATTTCATAGAAATTGATGTGTTGAGGGTAGCCATTTCACAGTCATTTAGCATTGCTCTGGTTTGAACTGATTTTGATAATAATTTAGTAGAGTAAATGCTGGAAACATCTAATAAACTGATGGAGACATGAAGTTCTTACGTGGCCATGGTTTTATGTGACTTGTAGAGAAATACTTGAGGGTTGTTTCTAAATTTTTGTTAGAAGTGTGGGCAGCTGATTGAGAGTGTGGCATCAGTCCTGACTCTGGCATCTTAAGAAGAGTCAGACATTAGAAGTTCTAGTTAAATCTTTTATCTGTAAAGAATCTGCAGTTTTTTTGTTTCTTTAAAATGGCAGTCTGTTTATATTCTGTTCCTAATACTCATGGTTTGAAAAGGAATGTGGGCTTATTATCTTTTACATATTATTAAATATTTCATAAACTTTTAAATATTGTTTAGTTAATAAACCACGCATTGAAAGAACTAATGGAAGTAGAAGAAGTGAATGAGAATGTATTACAAGTTCACCTAAATGGTAAGTATGTCATCACTTTGCCACTGGAAGTGATGTAAGCCATGACAGCTTTTTATATTATGAAACTAAATTTACTTGTATATTTTAAATCTGCATTCATAATTGTATTTTAAAAATTAGATCCTTGTTTAACATTTAAAAACTTTAGCATACTATATACAATGTTTTTTAGAAACTAAAAACAATAATAAAGGAGGCATATAGTCTCTTGTTTTTTGTCTTGATTTTCTTATCTCTATTTTGAGTAACACTAACCCCAAGGAAGGTGACTGTTTTCATTAAATGTCTTCACTGTGGAGTTTTTAAAAGGAAATACTGTGAACTAACAGGCTTTAACTTTTTTCTTTCTAGTTAAATTTTAAAAAGCATTAGAAAACTTACTTGACTAGAAAATAATCTGCATTGTATCAAATACATATTTCATTTTAATTTAATACTTTTAAATGGATTTTACTTCAGGACTGCTACAGATCAATGATAAAACTGCCTTAAAGGAAATCACAAGGCAATTAAATCTGGAAAATGTAGTTGGAGATAAAGTTTTTGTAAGTATGATTTTTATTTTTTTTAATTAAATAGGCTTCAAAGTAAACTTTGTAGAACATAGATATTTTATATTTTTGTAAGACTAGGAAGGGTTCTAAATTGAAATATGAAGATTCTTGTCATAAGAATGTGTAAATGTACCAGGATGCATTTATTCATCAATCTTTATGTTTAGATATTTTGGAAGTAGATTATACTTGCTATAAAATAGCTAAGAAACCCAGGATTATGTAGATATTATCTGAATTTGTTTCTGTATCTGTAAGATAAATATTCTGATTCTCTATCCTTGAGATAGATGAATATGTTTTTACAAATATTATACTCTAGCAGTTTATTTCTAGATGAGATTTATGAGACTTGGATAGCATGAGAGTAGTGGAAAACGCATTGACTTTGAAGCTACAAAAGGTGGGCTTGAGTCTTGCCCTTCTACTACTGAGTTTAGCTGGCGATCACGGCTAGGGAATATCTTGAATTGCAGATTCCTCTTCTGTTAAATGGGCATTTTCTTTTTATATTTCTTCACAGATTCATTCTAAAGATGTTTTTATGTTTTTTTAAAAAGTAGGATGGTAATATACTATATAAATGTCAGTTATCTCTTACTATTAAACGTTTTCAGAAAGTTACCCACACTTCATTAGTGTAGTTTGGAATCTCAGAGCAGTAAACATCAGTAACTTAAACTGATTCAAAATGTTTTGGAACTTATATTAAACTTTTTACCTGTCACTTGATTTATAAGGCTCAAGGGAAACATGATTAACTTAATTTGCAGCTGCTGTAATTTTCATGATGAGATGATTCATCCTCATACTGCTTAATGCAATTAAAGTGAGTTGTGTACGTTCCAAGTTCATTTTCTGATCACTGGTGATGCAGTGGTGCCACTCTAATCTGTAAGCTGTGTACTCTTCTGCTGCAGTAATACTGCCATAGTTGTATAAGCCTCCTAACATTTAGTAATTTTATTCTTTAAAAATTATCTATAAAAAGTTGAGCCAGTTATTTGTCACCCTTCATTTTCTGCACGTCTTTGAAGTACAAGTTTAAAATTTTCCTTCTACATATATCTATTGTTCTACCTCCTTTTCAGAATGTAATTTTGAAGATAGTGGCCCAGCTGGCAAAGGAGAGTTACTATTATGTAGACTCAGTTTGGCTTTTGGTTTCCCATTGATGTAGATTCGTGTTTCTGACTTTACCAAATAGAGCTGTTCATATTGGATTCATATGAAATAATACATGGCACATTTGGTTATCATCTTAACCATCACTGGTGTTATCATAATCCTCACATGTACAGATTATTAGCTTAAATTTTACATTATATAGATTAGGCACCTGAGGCTCAGAGAACACAATTAGCATGCCTAAAAATCATACAATGACAAAGGCTGGACGTTGAGAATGTAAGTCACTTACCCAGAGCCTTTCTGCTTGAATATAGCAAACTTGTATGTTGTTTTATATATATGTGTGCATATGTATATATATTTATATATGTATACATATTTTTGTGTGTAAGTTATATATATAAGTAAATTCTTATAATGTGTGTGTATGAATTTATCTGAGTATATACGTACACTTAATGTCAGGTATAATAAAATAGTCTTTAAAAAAATGCCAGAAGACAAGCAACCTTTGAGTAATTTGACCACTGATTTCCCAACAGATTGTTTCTGATAATACCTTTATGTTACGGTAAATACCTCTTACCCTGCCTACTTTGGAAACAGTATTGACTTGACAGCATTTAATCATCACAAAATATGTAGAAGCTCTTTAAAACCTATTTCATATCAGTTCTCTTGACTGGGAAACAAACAAATGGGTTTCTTTTCTCCTTTACATCTCCTCAAATTTAAAGTTGGCTGTTTCTTTAAAAACTCTCAATGAAGTAAAAATTGACTTTAGTGAAAAAGTACTTTAACAGGGCCTTTATCCACAAGCTGGAACATCTGGATAATTCATCTGCTACTCTGTTAATTTCCATCCAGAATATTCAAGTTGTATCCAAAAATGTTTTGGCTGTGTTGCAAGTAAACATAGCCAAATTTGATATGATATGTACAAATTGTATAGGATGCTCTTGAATAGAGAAACATTGTTATATTATCTAATATTTGAGGCAAGTTTCTTCTACCTTTTCCTTTTGGACAAATTTTACACTTGCAAGAGACTGATGTGTTTGAAGATACAAAGTGCAAGATTTCTTGTTGTCTGACTGTACTTAGAATATAACAATTTTTAAAACTACCTTTAAATAAAGTTAACAGTTTTACGGACTTTATCTAGAAAATACAAAATTTTGAACATGACATAATAATGCCATTTTTAGTGCTGTGCTATCTCTGCTTTTGTATTTAAGTTTTAGATTGTAAGCATAGAGATATTCAGCTCAGAATCTAGCCAATGACTCATTTACCAGAAAGAAAATACAGTGTTACAATGTTGAGTTATAAGAGGGCTCTCTTATTCTTTATTTCACTAAACTTCTAGTCATGGTATCTTTTATTGTTATTCAGGGAAGCTTTGCTGAAAACCTTTCATTTCTTCTGGAAGCTTTAAAAAAAGGTAAATATTACTGTATTTAATAGTGTCAAAAGATATTTGTCTAGCTTTATTTTTCCCTTTATTATAATACATGCTTTTATTAAAAAAACCACAATAAAATAAATATAAAATAGAATGAAGTATTGATCACTGCAATCCCTGATAATAACGATTATTCCAGTTAACATTTGGTTTCATAACTTTATTCACCTGCAGTATATCATTGGTATAGATAGGCATAATTTTTTATAAAATAAAATCCTTTCTATATTGTTGTATAATATACGTCTTTTCACTTACTAACAACAGTATGTTGTTGTAAGCATCTTTTCACATCAGGAAATACTGATATATATCATTTGCATGGTTCTCATATATTCCACTTTAAAGATATATTAACTATAATTTAAAATTGTAAATGTAACAAATTATAACTTATTAATCATCAGTTGTTGACTTTTGTTTCAAATTTTGTATAATTAGAAAGAAATGCTTAAATAATTAACCAGGTATTTCCTGAGGTAAATTTCAATGAGTAGAATTCTGTATTGAAAGCTTCCAAATTTAAAAGAATAAATATTACCAAACTACCCAAGAAAGTCTATTTTCTAAGCATGTTTAGAAGTTTTTTTTTTCCCACAACCTCAAAAACAATTATTTTCATGTTTGCTTATTTGATAGAAAAAATTATATCTTACTTTAATTTACATGGTTTGGGTACTGATGATGTTCATTTTATATTTTAATTGGTCATTGGTATGTCCTGGTTTGTATATTTCCTGTTGGTTCTTTGCCTTTTTTCAGTGGTTTATCTCATACTTCCAGGAATTCTTTCATTTGTTTTGTTTTTTTCTTTTCCTAAATTTGGCTTGGACTTTTCTGCTCAACAGAATTTGTAAACTTTACATAGTCAAAATTTTCTCTCTCCATATTTTGAAGACATTCAGTTATGTTTTCATTTAATGCATATATTTGTAATTCATAATTTGGCAGGAATTTATTTTGTTAAGGTATAGAGATCTAATATTGAATAAAACACTTTTCGCATTGATATGTAATGCTGTGTTTTATCTAAAACTGTATTTTTATATTATGTAGAACTGTTTTTAGACTTTTGAGTTGACCCTGTGGTTTTTATGACATTTAGGTTAGTGCATGTGTTTTATTATCTATTGGAATAAGTGTCCCATTATCAGATCTTTTTCCACTTGATATGCAAATGTAAAGTCTTAGACTTTAAGGTAATAGTGATTCCTCTGCTAAAGTAGTTTCCACTGTTATGATGAGAAAAATGAATCCACACTTTTCTCTGCTTTTCACATACTAAAATTTTCGTTAGAAGGAGTTAAAGTGGCTTCGGTTGGACTTCATAGTGTAATCGTTGTTTATAAAAATTATTTCTGTGTAAAGATTTACTTTGCATTTCTACTAACTAAATCAGTCTCTTTGGAAATAGTAGTCTTGTGTTCCTTATATTTAATCCCTAAATGTTTTGGTCTGTGTATTTATTAAAAAATCCTTGTCAATTTTCTGATTTTCTGACGAAATAATTACGTTTACATAATTTTAAAAACTTAGTCTCCGTTTAAATGATGTTTTTAACTTTTCATCAGTAAACTGCTAGACTCTAGTAATTAGACTATAAGCTATTTGATAAGGGCTATTGTCCTGTGAATAATGTTTTTTATTGAATAAATGTACATGCATTGGTAAGTGCCCTACCCAAATCAGGTTATCAATATATGTTTGTTGAATTGAGTTTTAAAAAAGGAAATGTGGTAAATAGCTTGGGAACTTAAGAAAGGTTGATACAACTGGTTATTAATATAAAAACCTTATATTTTCTTAGGTGACCGGACTAGTAGTTGCCCAGTGATCTTCATATTAGATGAATTTGATCTTTTTGCTCATCATAAGAACCAAACACTCCTCTATAATCTTTTTGACATTTCTCAATCTGCACAGACTCCAGTAGCAGTTATTGGTCTTACATGTAGATTGGTAAGTCTTTCTATTTAAAAAAAATAATTATAATAATATTTAGAAAATTAAAGCTTAATTACTGGCTTAGTCACTTATGCAGGTCATTTTTCAAACATGTTCATCAATGCCTCATACATTTATCCCAACTTTTCAACTCAGTTGAGGAAAACAAAACATTTATCACAGGTACTCATAAAACAATGCCTCTCTCCCTCCAATGGAATTACTGAATAAAGAATGTGAAGTCAGATGATGCTAAAAAATATAGTTTATACATTAGTGAATAAAGAGAAAGTTTTAAAATCTCACCACCATTTTATAAAAATTGCTAATAATTTCTACTTTGTACATTTAAGATTCTTTCCATATTTTGAAAATGCTTGGAATCAGCTCAAAATGATACTATACCAGCTTTGTAAATACACATTCTTTGGAAATGCAAGGGATTTTTTTCTGTCAAGCTGTCATAGTAGATAGTGGCTTCTTTGCTCCTTGGGAGATTTCAGAAGGATTTTAACCATAGTTTTAATGTTACTGTGACAATACTTTGTGAAGACTCCATAGATGTTGAACTCCAATACTTTGTACTTTTAGACAGCTTACATAGGTCTTTTTTGTTTACCTTCTTTTCTTATCCTCATATGAACTTTCTTATTGAATTAGGTAAAACTTGTATTTAGAGTCACCTGTCGTCTTATACTTTAGCTGCCATGCATCCATAGCTTTCATCCTTCTTTTCCCTCCTTTTTTGCAGGCTCATTTCAGGCCCTTTTACTTCCTCTCTTTCTACAGCTCTTTCTCTTTTTTTAGAAATGTGAAACTCTTCATTAAGTTTATCTTTCGACAGTCCTTTCAGTGCTATTTCTCTTAGGAGTGGCTTTCTCTGTCTTCCTTCCCCAGTACTCTAGAGCTTATGATGTATGCTTTCATAATAAGCCTCTCTCAGAAAAATCTGGCTGGTTCTCCACGTATCTTAATTCTTTTTTTCAAAAGGTAGCAATCTATCACAGGGGTTAAGGAAGCACATTCTTTCTTGCTAAAAACTCTTCCTCTGGTGGAAGTGGCAGTGGCAAATGTGACTGACCCATTGAGGGACCAAAGAAAGGGTTAGTATCTCCTTAGCTGTATTATCAGAGGCTTTTTTTTTTATTCTGTATGTATAATTCTCCAACTGTGCAGTTCTTCAAGTCTAAGTATATCTGTATCTCCATGTTTATAGGGAAAGAGCAAACAGATAGATGAAGCAGTGATTTTTGCCAGCAAATAACCTCTTCCCTGTGTCAATAATTTTTTTTTAACTATTCCTTCTGTCCTTCATTACCAATTTCTGTCATTACTATGCACCACTCAAGTATCAGTTACTGTTAACCTCTAAAATTTTTTTACTTCCATCTCTTCCTATTCCCAAGTTCAGGCTGTTAATTATTGCTTGCAGAGTGTTGCATCCACTTCCTTTCAAACACCTACCTGTCTGGGTGATCCGGAATGGCTCCCTAGTAGAAAATAAATTATAATATTTTCTGTCTCTGAACATTAGTTTTAATTCTTTTATGCTGGCACTACATCTTTCTTTAGCCTATAGAAAGAAAAACCTATTTCAGGTTTTTCATTCACCCTCTCCCTCTAACCCCAAGCAATTAATCTTTCCTGTCTTCCTTCCCGAACTAATCATGATCCCTACTTGATTACTTTAATTCTTTCCTCTGTATCATTGGTTTCTTAACCTAGTTATTATGAAAATCATCTGGGTAGATTGGAAAATTCATATTTCTGGGCCTCACCACAGGTTTTTCTTTTCTTTAACTTTTTTTTATTATAGAAAATTGACACTAATGTTGATTTCTAACTTTTTAAGGAGGAATAACATGAATACAAGTAGTTTCATAAATGTTACTATAGAAAAGCCAGAAGACAATAATTTACCAACATCATGCTGTGTTCCCACCAGCTTCCTCTTCTGTAGTTTTTTTCCTTAAGTCTAGCATGGCTTTAGCTTAAATTTGTATAGTTTAGTGAAACTGAACTTTTCTCCATTACGTGCTTTTTCTTGAGGCTCTGTTACATAAAAAAGTGAATAAGTTTAAATTTTCATGTTAGTTAAGACATCTAACTACATTTTATTATCTTAGTTTTTTACCTGAATTCTTCATAGAATATACAAAATACCTTATTGAAACTTTTCATGTTACTGTGGCATATAACTATTCAATATACTTATCATTTAACAAAAATTATTGTTGGTCTTGCAGTGTTAAAGATTACCTAGAAGAACATGGTTAGAAAAAGGCATGACGTCACCAGGCCTATAAATGCTTAGAAGGCGATTATTTAAAGTAGCTTGCATTAAAAATATTTTAGAAGCTTGTTTTATTTCCATGCCATAATCTCTTACCTACTGCCTTGTAACCCCAAGTAGATCAGGGAATAATTTGAATTTTTAGAGGCTTGTGTAATTTTTAATGCTTATTGTGCATTATAGGATAAGCATTGCTAATTATAAGTGATAGTTCAAATAGTTACGTCTCTAACATTGGTATGGTCTAACATGCATCTTACTGAGATTTTTGTTTGTTTTTAAGGATATTTTGGAACTCTTAGAAAAAAGAGTGAAGTCACGATTTTCTCACCGGCAGATACACTTAATGAATTCATTTGGTTTTCCACAGTATCTTAAAATATTTAAAGAACAATTATCTCTTCCTGCAGTATTTCCAGACAAGATTTTCGCTGAGAAGTGGAATGAGAATGTTCAGGTAGTTTGGGACAAAGACAATAATGTTAAAGTAATTTTTGTGTCTTGCTATACTATTTGAAAGCAGTTAATAAAACTTGCATATTTTTAAAATTTGTAAACTAATATAAAATTTCTAATGTTACTGTGGCATAAAACTGCATGAATACAAATTATACTTTTTTGTATGTGTATTTTCTTTTAAAAAACAGTTTATGTCATAACTTCTAATTTTTTTTTTCAAAAGAACTTTAATGAGATCTATTTTATTTATATCTGGTTTATATTTTATATTATTTTGGTAATGAACTTTAATCATTAAAAATTTATTTCCTTTATTTTATAAGTTTAGCAATATATTAGCTTAGTAATGTTCATACCTATCCAGTGTGGATTTTTTTTTCCAATTCGCATAAACAAGCTCTTTTCTCATTGAGTCTATTAAGAGAAAATTCATACTGTGACACCTTTGGTTATATTAGCTACATTGACAAATCCCATCTTTGAGTCGTTGGAGCCCTGAGGGTCTTAAGTTACAAATGCAGATACACATGTTGTTTTAAACATTTACTGAGCCTTATGGACTCTATAAATTTACTTATGCTTAAGTTGAAGAGCCTAACTTTTACAGGCCATTATTATATCAACTGAGCTTACTAGCATCCATTTATCTTATACTGACAAGTTTTAGTTGGCAGAGAGAAGGGAGAGAATGTATGGGTATAAATATGTGTTTAATAACAATTAAAAAAACGATGTTACTGAATAAATCTCACACGTTAAAATCTTTCAAAAATGTGGGTCCTGTGAAAGTGGAAAATAATATAAAGAGTCCTTGGTTTTGAAAGAATTGGGAAAAACTGGTCTGTAATATTAAATACTAATGAGTGAGGATGAGTAGATCTCTGCTTAGAGTTAAACAGTCTATATTCACTGGCGCTCAAAAAAGATTGTTTTATGTTAAAGTAGTAATGATAGATTATATTCTTTTTACTACAAAATCTTAAATATTAATACCATATTAAAAGTGAGAATTTTTATTTATTGCTCTTAACTGATTCTTGTTTTTTCCTGCCTTTATTGAGGTATAATTGACAAATTAGAAGTTGCTTATATTTAAGATGTACAGCTTGATACTTTGATATAGATTGAGAAATACCACAGTCAAGCTATTTCTTAGATTTCTTTCCTTCCTTCCTGCCTCCTTCTTTTCTTCCTTCCTCTCCCATCCTCCACTCCCCTCCTCTTTCTTCCTTTCTTTCATGTGTGTGTGGTAAGATAAACTTAAGTTCTATTCTCTAAGCAAATTTCAAGTATACAGTACTGTATTGTTAACTATAGTCACATTGCTGTACGTTAACATCTCCAGAACTCACTCATCTTGCATAACTGAAACACTCTTATTTTGATTTTAAAATATAGTCTGCTCATGTAAGCACTATTAATTTTGACGCATTTTCTATATTAGAAGTTTATTGAACAAAATTAAATCAGTGCATAAGAATACATGGTCAAAGGTAGAATTTTCCCTTATGTCCATGCCCATCCTCGCTGCTTTTACTACAAAGTAATTATTTCGTTCATAGCATTTCAGACCGTAGATACATGCTAAATTTGTGTTTACATAAGGATACAAACCTTAAATACTGTTTTACCTTTTTTACTTTTTCTAATTGGGTAACTCATATATAAGTTTTTTCTTGATGATATATCTAATTATAAGAGTCCTTGCTTTAAGAACACTATTTATAGTTGGTGCTCTCACATTGTCTCTTCACTTACATAGGTCTGGAGTGGATCAGAGCTCTGGATCTTTGCCATCTGAATCCACTTTTGAGTGTCTCACGGACTTTCACCTACAACTCCTGAACTGATTGTCTTGTTACAACAGTGTGGTTTTTTTTTTAAATTGCTTTATCAATCAAATGTAGTTTTTCATAATATTTAAATGTCTATGCTTTCCCAGAGCTTTTATTATTTTCACCCCTGCTTGCCTTCTTTTCCTAAGATGACTACATAAGCCCAGGTTATACTGTGCTGTCATCCTTCTTTCTGTCCTTCCCAGCTATGTTGTATTCTGAGCATCTTAGAGTGAGTATATAAAGGAAGTAGATGGTGAGGGTTACTGGTGAAGCATGACTTTGGATGGCTCAGAAAATGGTAAGCATGTGGTAGTAAAGTGGCTAACTCTTAGGTTTTTGGTCTTTTTTTTTGCTGATGTTACATCACTGATTTTAGGGGCAGATGGTAAGGATAAATGTGAGCACTATCCTGTCATCTTTTTTGACAATCTTGCTGTTCTTTCATAAGATAGAACTAGTACCACTGGAGTTTGTGTCTCTTAGCTGTGATTTTTTTTGCCTTATCCTAATTATCATTTGCCACCTCCCTTTGAAATGCTAATAAATGAGCATTGAAAAAATATGTCAGCACCATGGCCAGAGGCCCTGCCCAGGAAAGAGAGGGTGCATTGAGGGAGCTATCCTCTCACTCAGTGCTGACTATCCAGCAAGTTTTTCTGATTAACATAAACCAAAAGCAATGATATAGTAGCAGTTTGCTTATAGAATCTCACCCAAGAAATATCTTCAGGATAGGCTATAACCTGCACATCCTGCCTAACTTGAATGTTTTAGCCCTACCCACAAATGAGTCAAATATGTAAGTAAGCAGAGTAAACAGCACCTTGGCATGGCAGTATAAGAAAAATCTTTGTATAAAAGAACATTTAAAAGGACCATTGCTGATTCTCCTTAAAGGAAATGCCCTAAAAGTACTAGCTAAGTTCAAGAAAGATTTACCTACTGTCTTAGCCTTCCCTGTTTAGTCAACAGAAGTGAGAAAATTTAGCAGAAACAGACTAGGAGATTTAGTACATCTACTGCCACTGACTTAATCCCTGGAGCAGCATGAGTCCCGAGGTACTAGTGTAATCCTATAACATTCTCCTTAGAACCTAGCTATGAAGAGGGCACCAGCCAAGCAAACTGCAATGTGAGCACATTAAGAACTTGTTTCTGTAACTGCTACTCATACGCTCATCATTGAAGAGGAACTATATCAAATTCCCTGAATAACAAGGGAAATCTGCTTTATTTCTGGGAATTTGCCCCATGTTCTTATAAGGGGTGTTGTTAGTCATTTATCTCTGTCTTACTATCCTTACATCATTTCCTGAGCCAACCAAAAAGGAGTTTTCAGTCCAGAGCAGTAAGAAATTTAGTCATTTTACAAAACCCAATATCTAACATCTTCAGTGACTATCATAATTAAATATAATAGGCATCCAATAAGTGGTTATTGATAATAGTCTTGTCAAGTAGTTTATAGTGTTTGAATCAAGGAGAAATTAAAAATGTAATGAGTTTTTTTAAGGCTCACATGTAAATCTTGTTGACTTTTTCAAAGCAGATTAATAAATTATATAAACAAGAAGGTGATAGCTTTCAGAAGAAAGGTGAGTGGGATTCAGACCTCTAAAAAAGTACAGAAATAAGCAGAAAGGCAGAGTTGAGAAGATTAACCCTTTGAAGCATCATGTATAAGTAGAGCAAATACTGTTTTAAAAAATAATTGAATTTTTGCAAAGTAAATTTCTTTCATCAGTAGTTTTATCATCATCTATTCATCTGTCAGTATGTCATAATCTGCATTGCTCATGCTGTTTCCTATAACTGAAATGCTCTTTCTTCCTTGTAGCCTATTGATTCATACAATTTAAGCATTCTTTGTAATACTTCACCTTGTTTTCCTGAGTATGGTAACTCTTATTCTCTGTTGGATTTTGTGCTACATTTTGATCATGCCACTAGTAGGACTCTATAGTTTCCCTTTTTAGACTAGAAATTTTGTGGTAGCAAGAATTATGTTTTATCTTTGTGTCTTTGGAATTAACATAAAGGGATAAGAAAAAAGTAGAGTGGAAATTTGATTTTGATATTTGTGTTCCACAAATGAGACCAGCACCTATTTAATAATGAATAAACACCACATAGACTTAATGAGGTACACCAACCAGGGAGGCACAAGATTATATTTAGGTTTTGCACTGCATTTTTCTTTAATTCGGTTTTGATTTTTTTTTTCCTCTTAAAAGAGTCTCTCAGAAGACAGAAGTGTGAGAGAAATACTGCAGAAGCATTTCAATGTTAGCAAAAACCTGCGGTCGTTGCACATGCTATTGGTTTGTATTAGTTTTATTTTTATCACTTATTTTCTGTAACTAGTTAATTATGTTCTGATGGGAATTGGTTACACCTCTAGATAAATTTTTGGAGAATTAACATATTTACTACATTCAGTCTTCCAGTCCCTGAATATGGTATATCACTTCTTTTATTTAGTTCTTCTTTGACTTCTTTCATCATCATCTTATAATTCTCACACACAGATCCTGTACACGTTTACAGTGTGTACTTAAATGTTTAATTTCCTTGGAGCAATTGTAAATGATACTTTGTTTTTAATTTTGGTTTCAGCAAGCTCATTGTTAGTATATAGAAATGTGATTGATTTTTGTGTCAATGTTGTATTCTGCAACGTTACTGAATTCATTTATTTTAGGAGTTTTTTTTAATAGGTACCTTGAGATTTTCTATGTAGACAATCATCATCTGCAAATAGAGAGGTTTTTTCTTTCTAATCTGTATATCTTTTATTTCTTTTTCTTACCTTTTTGCAATGGCTATAACTTCTTGCACTGTGTCAAATAAGGACAGTAAAGGGAGGAAAAAAAGAATGGTGAGGGTGGACAGTTATCCCATTTATCAAAAGCATACTGCCATTTTCAACAACAGCTGTCTTTATCATAAAGGAATTCTGGGACTAAGAATTTTTAGAGTAGAGATTTTAGGTATTTATGCCAAAATTGGACTTTATTTGCTAAACTTATGGTATACGGAGGATAGACAAACACATACAGACACGTATATATATATACATACACCTCTCATTATTTTGGGAAAGTATCTGCCTCAGAATTGTCAATATGAAAAACCTTTGTTTTGCCAGTTTCCTATTACATTTTTAATTCAAGGTAATGGCTTAATTTTTGTTTTTCTTATTTAAGAGGAGTTTTGGAATTAGTGGAAATTATAAAGAAAAAAAGACTTAACAGATTAAATATAGTTTGGATAATTTTTCAACAACAACAACAAAAAAATCAGGAGTTCTACGCATAGAAAAAAGCCTCATTTGCATAGCCAAAAGTAAATTTCAGGTAGATAAACCTAAATGTGTGTACAAAACCAAAACTTGAAAAAAAGTAGAAGAAAAATATGAGATTATGTTTGTATTCTTGAGCTAGAGAAAGATTTCTTAGAGAAGTTACACAAATCACAAGCCACAACAGAAAAGATGGTTAAAGTTAACGACACTGAATTTTTAAATGTCTGGACACCAAAAGATACCATAGAAGAAGTGAAGACTTGATTAGGAGAGGAAAAATGCAATCCATGTAATCATCAGCACTATCCATAGTATGTAAAGAGCTTCTACAGTAATCTATAAAGAAAAAACTAAGAATATGAGCAAGCAGTCTACCAGTATAGAATCCCACATGACTTATAATTTGCAAAGATGTTTAACCTTTCCAGTAATTAGGGAAATGGTACAATTTACACTTTACAATTAAACTTTTTTGTTCTGCCAGTCTGGTAGGTGTCAGAAGTTTATGCCTGATGGGGTGGTATCTGTGACTATTAAATTTACTGCTGCCTACTAGTAGTGTAAATATACATAGGTACTTTGGAGAACAACTTGGCAAATTTAGGTATCTCGAAAGACTTGGATGCACAAGAAGGCATTACAAGATTGTTTAATGCAGCCTTGTTTATAATTGCAAAAAAAGGAAATAACAGATGCTCATCAGTAAGAGAAATAATAATTGTGAGTAGATCAGAGGAATCTAACAAAAAAATGAGTAAACTAGAATCGACATCTTGACATGAATTCAGTGAAGAAACAGTTGCATGAATACAATATAGTATTTATCTAAAACTTGAGAATTACTCTATATTGTCTAGGAATACAAAGATATGTAGCAGAAGAATTAGACATGCATGATTTTTTCTTTGCATGGAGAAGAGTAGAGAGTCACCCAGGGCAAGAGCCAGGGGCTTCAGCTCTAAGTTTATATTTCGTAAGCTGAGGAAGCAATCACAGATACTCACTATGTTATTCTCTTGCCTTTTTATATGTCAGAATATTTTATAATAAAGGAAAAAGAAGAGATAAAAGGAAGGGGCTACTGGGTACCTGTGTTCCTCTCAGTAAGGAAATGAAGAACAAGGATTGCCAAACCCTTCTGTTCAGTTAAGGACCCTGGGCCCTGGTTAAAAGGGGAGTTTCTAGTATAAATATCTCCCAAATATTACTAGATGCTTTCGCTAAGAAAATGTTGTTTACCTGGAATTGAAATTTAGTCAGATGTCATGCATTTTTATCTGCCAGATCTGCTAGCCCTATTGATAGGACTAAATTTAAATGTTGAGTCAGTTATATTTCAGTAAAATAAATTAAAAAATAAAATTTAGATGATATGAAAGTTACAAATCTTCAAATCTAGGAGTTTTGTTAGCTGTTGGAAAGACAGCTTTCTCCATAAAAAGTGAACTCTGCTTTCAAGGACAGTTGTTTCTGGGTATAATTTTGTTTTTCTTTTTTTCTTTTTTATACAATTTAACATGAAGTAGCTGGCTTCTGTCTATCACTCAACAGTAACCTGGGTTGGTTAACTGGGTGGTAAGAAAGTTTTTACAAGTCCCAGTTTGGTTTGGTTTGGTTTGGTTTGATCTGGGGCTTTGAATAATACTGTTTTTGGTCTCTTCTTGCTGTGCTCCTTTTTAAATGTTTTTCTCTTGAATTGTAAACAAGATATGTAAGTGGGAAGGAGTAGTGAAAGCAGCAAGAACTTTTTTATGCTTTACTTTTATAAGGCACAGGGATTGAAATACTGTATTTTAATAGGGTAAAATATGAGAGAATGGCTCTCCAAAGCATTAATATTTACTCTCCCATAACTCTAAATTAAGAAGTTTTGTTCAGTGATACTTCCAAAATGGCCAAGTAAATAAGTATTTGTTTTTCTGATCTGCATTTCCCTAGATGCTTGCTTTAAATCGCATAACACCGTCATACCCCTTTGTGACTGCAGCACATCTGATGGAGGCAAACCAGCTGTGTAGCATGGACTCTAAAGCAAATATTGTACATGGTGAGAAACCTGCTTGATTAGTAGCTTTTTTTTAAATAACTTTGAGTTTATATAATAGAATGCTTTTCAAAATTATAATTAACATTGGGCATAGTGTTTTATATACAGAATACTTTTATAGCCATACATTCTTTAACTGAGCCCTTTAAAAACTACTATTATTCTCATTTAAAGTGAAAGAAACTTGACACTGCCTCCCTTGCCACATTGGAAATCCAGCTATGACTCTTGCCGGCATTCTCATTGCACCAAGTGCTACTGAACAGCACTGGCTTTCAGCTATTTGAATTCACTGTCCCTTTTGAGAATCTAATGAGCCTTCTCTCCAGGAAAAAAAATTTAGATACAGTTTCCGGGGACTAGGAATTGTGAATAATCCAGGGCCCTTTGTGATTTGTGATTTAAAGTAACTTAATAATTGCAGCTTTGGTTTATGTTTACTGTGGGCTTTGGGAAAAGTTCTTGATAATATTGTCTATAGTCCTTGTAACATCTCTGGAAGTTTAGAAAGATCCTTATTTTACAGATACAAAGCTCAGGGAGGTTGAGTGACTTGCTTTAAGATTTAATAGATACTAGTGACCGAAACACATGCGAACCTGGGGTGGTGTCTTGATCGCTTCCCACCCCTCAAAACCATGGTCTTTCGCTTTGTCCTTCTGTTTGGAAGACAGCTGTTTCAACCTTAGGTATCAGCAAGTAAACTATACCTCATAGTTTGTTTCCCTTTCATTACAGGTCTGTCAGTCTTAGAAATCTGTCTTATCATAGCAATGAAACATTTAAATGACATCTATGAAGAGGAGCCCTTTAATTTTCAAATGGTTTATAATGGTAAGATGAGACTTTGATAGTCCTTTCTGACTCTACCTCACTGCTTATTTAAAGGTACTAATGTCATTGCTTTCTGTCCAGAGTTTCAGAAATTTGTTCAAAGGAAGGCCCATTCCGTTTATAATTTTGAGAAACCTGTTGTCATGAAGGTAAGATTTTAAGTTCATTGTTACTTTTTTGTAGATAGGTATATTTTTACATATAATGTGATTGTATATATAATAGTTGTACTTTCATTAATTTTGAAACATTAGGTATTATCATAGGGCTTTTTTCAAAACAATCTAAAAATGAAATGTTTGAATAATTCTGAACAATGCAGCCAGTTGTTTTATAGTTTGTGGGGGTATACCGCCCTCTAGTGTCTCTTCCTAGCACTTGCAGCCTGAAAAGGAACTCATTACAGTCTGTCTGATACACAGATACAACCCTATCCTTTTCCACCCCGAGTTGGCATTGTAATTTCAGCAGTAAAAAGAGACACAGTGAGTCATTAAGAAAATAAAGGACAAAATCTCACTGGCTGGTGAGAGTATACAGAGAAAGTTTTGTTAGGAGTTGGGTGTGAGGCATGAGTTTTAAAATTTGATGAACTTTATTTTAGCAAACCATTGTCCATCAGAAGTATAATGTGAGCCACATAATATAATTTTAGATTTTCTAGTAGCAACAAAAAAGTGGGGGAAAAAAGTGAAATTCACTTGAACAGTAAATTTTATATATAAAAATCTTTCTATCTGTAGTCAGTATAGAAAATTATTAATGAAGTGTTCTTATTTTCTTTTGTGTTAAGTCTTTGAAATTGTGTGTTTACACTTAAAGCATATCTTAATCCAGTGATTATTCATTGGAAATAATTGCTCTTTAGATTCCTGAAAAATTTTAGCTGAAGAAGTAAATTTACATTCTGAAACTGTTTCAGACATACTTAAAATTTTCTAATATCATGTTTGTAATTAAACATAATGAAACTTAAATAAAATTAAAAACCAAGCCCCACATTTCAAATCCTCAGTAGTCCTGTGTGGTTTAGTGGTTACCTTTTGGACATTTTTTTTTTTTAAAGCAGTGGATGCATTAGTTCTTCATCATCCTTTATAAACCCTAATAGTCCGAATTTTATTACTTACAGCAAACAAAAAATGTGAGATCAGGACATTACCATTTCTTCAAAACAATAGGAAAAGTATTTAGCATCCTGGAGGTTGGTGTTCTCTCTCTTCCTGATGTCCACATCTGTCTGATAGTCAAAGTATGTGGAGGTTGTATGAATGGAAAGGGTTAGCTGAACACTTAAATTTTCATGAGTAATTTACAGCTGCTTATTTCTATGTTTTAAATTTTAAAAAAATTTGCTACCTAGAAATATTTTAAATCTTCTCAGTTTTATTCAGCCCCAGTTCTTGCAGTCTCTAGTACTTTCTCAGAAATAATTGGTATCTGAGCTATTTTGCTTTTATCAGAAGAATTTTTATGGTACATAATATATTCCAATAATATTTTTCACAGCGAGGCTTAAGAATAGAAAGCTCAATAGTCTGTTTCAGTATATCAATATTTAATGGTTAGTAGGTCATGATTTATGGTTTTTTTTCATACCCTAATAAAATAAAACAACAATCACGGTTAGAACGACATGATACATGAATATCAAAGGTAAGAGGAAGCAGACAGTAGAGTCCTATTAAGGTGGGGAAGATGGAAGAAAGGGACTTTTTGACAGGTGGTGGTGGTCTCTGTCAGACTTCAGGGAAAGAGGAGCCTGTCCTCTCCTCCATACCGGTACCACTCTGCCGAACCGTTTATTTATAGTGAGGATCAGCTGAACAGATGTGCTCCAAGGGTTCTTTCCTGCCTCCCTCTTTTTGCAGCTGTATTTAACTTTTACACAGTTAAGTCTTACAAAAGTAGAAACAAAATGTAAATGCATAGTTGAGTAACCTACATAATTAGTCAAAAAGTACAGGTCTTATCAGATGTTACGTTTTTGTAGAGAACTGGAAACCTTCAGGTAACTTAAGGACTAGGAGAAGGTATGATACAGAATAGGTTAGGAACAAGAACCGTATTGTGCAGACTGAACTGTGTGCCCTGTTTACATTCAGTGATGCAGGGAGAGAGAACTATATTGGCACTGCCTCACGTCGGGTAGAAGGTTTTGTGGGGTTAACGAGAGTTGTTTTTGAACATTGCTCATCTCGGTTGCTTTGTTTCCTGGCACGTGTCCACTGCTGACCACACCCTGTTTTCTGGATTAACGTTGTTTACTGTGCTTCCCCTATTCAACCTCAACTGTTCTCTCATCTTTCAGGCTTTTGAACACTTACAACAATTAGAATTAATAAGGCCTATGGAAAGAACATCAGTAAATGCGCAGAGGGAGTACCAACTGATGAAGCTACTTTTGGATAACACTCAAATTATGAATGCTTTGCAGAAATACCCTAACTGTCCTACAGATGTCAGGCAGTGGGCAACGTCCTCACTCAGCTGGTTATGAATATAACCCCGGCTTCAGTTATGGAGTTTCGGGCATACTGTTCTAAAGAACTAAAAGCTATTTCCTTTAACAAGAAATGTTATTACATTTTCTTATAAACATGTATTTTTGTATTTACGGGAGACTGTTGCACATGCAGTGTCATAGTTGTGCCTTGCTTCTGAATCATAAGCAGTTACATGACTTAACAATTCTAGTGATTTAGATTATGTTGTAAGTAGCTGTTCAAAAAAATAAATGTGACTATTTTAGGGATTGAACCATATGCTTATTTAACACTTGTGAAGTATTTATGTGTTACATTTGAAGAGTTCGTTTTAACCCAGCAGCCCCAGCAGCTAGATGTTTTTACAAACCTTAAACAAAACAGTAAAGAAACAATGGTAAGAGTTGAGGTGTAATGAGTAATCTTTTGGTCCATTGGGAGGTGCTGCATTTTTTTCTGTTCCCATGGAAATTTTGGATTCTATTGCAGACACAGGACTTCTAGTTCAGGAGACTGACCAGTTTGGGCAGAAGATAGTACAAACGGAAGAAAAAAGCCAAAAGTTTGAACATTTTCTTCCAGACTTCTTAAAAAATATGGTACTCATACCATAAAAAAAATCTCTTGCAGGATTTTTTTAAAATGCAGATTCTTGGGCCTATTCTAGGCCAAAGGGACCAGCACTTGTCTTTTTAACAGGCACATTAGGTTGTTCCTGGGGAATTACTCCCACAAATAATGGGGCGTGTATGACAGTGCATCCAAAAGTAAAGTCCTGAGAGGAGTGTGGAAATGCCACAGCATCACCTTATAAATTCAGGAACTGCTTTATGTTTAAAGTGAAATTTAATAAGCATTCATTAACTGTTAGTGACTTCATTCATTCAAGAATATTTGTCTCTTATTTTCATAGAAGGTTTACAAAAGACAGTCCCTATCCTTGTACAGCTTGTAATCCTTTTAACTGTCAAAGGCCGTGAGATAGTTACTGTTACTTATAGATGAGAAAGTAACACAGTAGTGGCCGTGTCCAGAGGATTGACAGACTCTGGAATTCAGCTCATGTTTTCAGTGACACCAAAGCCCCTGGTTTTAAGATCTCAGGCTCAGTAATGGTTTTCTTACCATGCATTTTAGAAAGTATACTCTAAGAAATGATTTACTTGGTTTTTAAGAAATTTTGTATTCAGAATGGAATATAAGATTTCTGTGCATAAAAGTAGCTCTTCAGTAGTTGCAACCTATTTTGTTGCATACAGAGGCATCCTTTCCCTGCTTCTCAGTCTTCAGATCACAGTCGTTTACTTTTCAGCTGTGTGTCATGAAAGCTAAGGCTTGCATCTGGTTCTATGCAATAGTCTTCAGGTTTTTAGGGAATATTTTGCCAAAATATTCATCATGTAGCATCACTGTTACTAGAAGCAAGGATTTTGCACTTGAGCTAAAATTGTCCCTTTAAGAAAATTTCTCAACTATTTTAGGAAAGTACCCTCTGCTCTAAAGGTGACCATAAAAGCCCCTAAATAACTTGCTTGAAGATTGCAAATTTTTATGTGCTTAAGATGCCACTGAAAGGTTGAACGCTCTCATATGCTTTGGTGACTCCGTAAGAGCTACAGAAGACCCAGCAAATCAGTGAGAGTTGTAAAGCAACCTAGAAAACTTTGATTAGCAAAGTCAAACGAATGAAGCATCTACCTACACTCCAAAAACATTTTTTGAGGAGGAATGTTGATGTTCCCCTTTCCATATTCCCTAAAAAAATACGAAGAAGCTGAAATATACCTTAAAAATTTTAAAGTAACTTCATCTCTTAAGTTGCTTAAACCATCATCAATAAAATAAAAACCAAATCTGAAAAATCCCTAGTAAAAAAACTTTGGGGAATAATGTAGACAAATATGGTTTAAAGATACTTTCATTTCCTAGAGGAGGAATGTAGGCTGTTAATAGCACAACCAAAAGACCAAAAAGCAGGGAGGAGGAGCGTTAGCGGCAGCAGGGGTTCTCACTCAGCAGGCCCTCCAGCTGCCCTACCAGTTAAGGAAAAAAAACTCTCCAGTTTTGCGGACATGCATGTGAATGACTCTGAGGAATTAAGACCTGTTGGTTCAAACTTACCACATCACAGTGCTATGTATGTTGATTATATATTATTAACTTCCTGAAGAATCTGTTTTGCAGAACACTGTGGAAACGATTTCCGTCTTTCTGTGATGCCCCTTCCTTCACGTTTACCCTAAAAAAACTGAGAATCCATTGGTGTGAACTGTGACACTCAACGTGACAAGGTGGGGCTCTTGCACCCTCATTTTCTTGAAAGCCATGAGATAAAAGAATTTGCAACATTAAAAATGTAAATGAAAGCTAGCTTCCTTGATGATCACTCTTACTGAGGACCCTAAGTTAATGTACCAGAATTCTTCCCTTCAACTGGTAAACTAGTTACATTGTTGGAAAGTATAGTTTCTAACTTTGATGTCTATTTCCTAAGCCAGTGTTTTCAATCTCCAAATGAAAAGACAAGGTAACTAATGCTATTTAGCTTCTCTTGGTAAAATAGGCAGGACCAACATATGTGCTTTATAGTGGGAATACAATCTGCTTACAAAACAGGAGGGAAATGCCACAACTGACAAATCTCCCTTTCACCACTATCCCCATTCTTGCAGATCTCGAGGTGTAAGCCTCACTGTGAATTATAAAGCTCATTAAGAACATATAGCTAAAGAAAAACTGCATATGCAAATCATACCGTATTTATTTTTTTATTTAACTTGGGAATGGAATGGGGATAGCATACATTTTATTTGTACAATATTTAACAATCACTTACCCGAGGTGGGGTTTTATGGGGCTTTTTTTTTTTTTTAGCTTTTTGTTAAATACTTGCAGAAAAAAATAGCAAGTACAATTTGACAGTAGTACAACAACCTGTGCCCAAAACACTGACAAGAAATACAGAGTAAAGCTAAAATAATTGCTTACCAATATTTTGAGAGGTAACAAATAGGATATGGGTTGAGACTGCATAAAAAATGTACTGCTGGTTGAATATCTGAGGTAAATGATGTTCAATTAAGATGCTACTTGTATCATTTTGCCCATAAATCAGTAATTTTATGCACATTATACCAAATGTTCCTAAAAAGTAATATTTTAAAAAGGTAAAAAAGAGAAACTGGAAAATATCTGTGGTGAAGCTTTTTTTAAAACAGTAATTAGTTTATTCCACTAAACTATCATCTGACCAGGGTTTTTTTTTTCCCCCTATCAATCACCTGCATTTTACTTAAATGTAGCTGTTACACAGGAGTGAGTAAAGGGGAAAAAAGAGATTCTTTTTAATTTCATGATATATGATTCATTTTTAAGTTCCAAACTTTTTTTTTTTTCCTGATTGTACTTTCAAAACATCACCATGAAAGATAGTGCAAGTTCATGGGGCCAAAAATTGTGAGGCACAGTCTCTGTTCTGGAATTCACAAGGTACCTGTAATAAACATTCAAACAAGAATCACACATCACATGCTAAAAACTTCCTAGCATCTAAAATACATACAAGAGCTGTGCAGGGCATAGACTTCGAATAAAGCCAAAACACTGGTTAATCCATCAGTCCTGTGGCAGTTGATCATAAAGCATTCCTTACACGGAGATCTGGGCAAGGTAAAGTGTAAGTTAGAGCAGCAGTTCTGATGGGTGTCATAAAGGCAAAATACAAGACAAATCATAAGGAGCACCATACACATGAGGAAAAAATTATTGGGGTCTCAGTTTACCCCAAAACAAAGAAGTCATTTTTCTTTTCTTAATCTTTCTTTTTTCAATCTCCCTAAGCTTAAACTTTTTGTTAACTTGCCCACTCTATGCTGACTGTAAACCAAACATGAAAATGCCCTGCAAAAGAAAGTTTTAACAAGACTAGGTATCAGGACAGGTAGTCACTGGAACATTCTTATTTTACTGCTTATAAAAAGTATTTTTCTATCAATATATTTCTCAAAAGGATACAAGTTTTAAAATTGGTTAGCTAGAGTTAAGTACAATACCCAGGATTTCTAAAAATTTTTTCTAACAGGAAGAGAAAACTTTACTTTGTGAATAACTGGTCTTATAAAATTTATCTGTAAGTGTTCACATAAGCCACTCATCATAATGTTCCTTGTTTTTCTTTTGATTTGTTTAACTTTTAAAAATGGGATTAAATGTTCAGGACAGGTAGAAATTAGTCTTCAGGAGATTAACAATTTTCTTGTATGAACATTCTCGTATTTTCCCTTCTTGATTAGTTTCAAAGTGGAAGCAAAACTACATCAAGAAACTGAGAAGCTAAGTACTTTCTGAAATAAAGGTGAGCTCTACATTGAAATGGGAATTCTTAGGAATACAACAAAACCTTGGGTACATGATGTGACCAAGAGCACAAAGTTCTGTATGGTGTGTGGCACACAGACAGCGGTGCTATTACTCTTCTTTCCCTCCCTGCTTAGAGTCTGTTGACCTATGTATTATTTATAAATAATAATTTATTATTCCCAGAGATTAAGTGCATATTATATGTAAAATGTAGTGTACTGTGTGGTTAAATAGCCATTTGAAGATAACACATTCACAGTGAGCTCCTGATAGTGACATGTAAAAAGTTATTTTATAAAATGAATGTATGGATTTTAAAATGACCTGACAAAAGTACAATAGCATAATACTGGCTATTTGTCTGTCAGTAATCTAGAAATTCAGGAAATTAATGTTTTACTTTGGCCTGTATAAATTTGAGAAAGAATCCAATTATACTCTAATGTAGCATTATTTTGAAAAGCACTTTGGCACCTACCTACCATCAGTTCCATTTTCTTACCAAGGATAAGGCATGAACTACCCTAAATCAGTGTCAGAGTTGGTTGTGAAAGCGACGTGCGGGAGGAGGCTAGGCTGTGTTACCTGCATCAACACTGGTTACCTCTAAATGTCGTTGCATATTTTAAGTTATAAGTTGAACTTGTTATCCCTGATTTGTTTTAAAGCAGTAACATCTGATATCTGTGCTTAAAGTTTTAAATCTCTACCCTAGGATAATTCTTGACGTATCACAGACATCAAATATTACTCTGACAAGATGGCACCAAGAGGAAATATAGTGATAAAGTTACAAGTCTCAAAGCAGAGTGAGGAGTTCTGGGTAATGACACTTCCTGAGGTGATCCTAAAACAGTGATAAAGAATGTCCCACACACTGGTGAAAAGAAATACACTACAACTTTACATATATAAATAGGAAAAAAATATTTTAAAAGAATAAAAATGAAGAGCTTTCCAGTGTCACAGCTCACTTAAAAAAATTTAAATCATGCTTTAAATTTTCTAATAGTTCCCAAACACGGCACACTGAAAAATATGCAGGTAAGTATGCAGTATTTTGGGAACCGGATGTAAGATGAACCTGTAAAACACAGGAGAGAGGGGGAAGTGACACCATTTTTGTTTGTTTTTGTTTTTGTTTTTTCATTTCAAAGAACAGCACTTTTTTCCCCCTTAAATTACAAGCTAGCACAAGAACAGCTAAAACACTGCTTTACGAAAAATGGCCACTTCCTGTTGGCACTAAGCATAGCTTACCCTTTTTTCTTAAATAACACAGTGAATTTGTAATACCTTGTTACAAAACATGGGTCAATTTATTATTCAAATTTTGTTAGTGTTTTTCAGTTTTATAATTTAGCAACCGTGGAACTGAGGTATACCTTGTTGAGGGAGGTTAAAGTAATGCTTGGAAGCCTCTTTACTGTACCCCACTTTGATGACTTTGTTTATGTACACAGAACAGCAGCACACTAAACATTCACAAGCTGTGTCATATTGGCATTACAATAGTCATTTATAGAAACACAACAGCAAATGCAATAAAAACAAGTTACCCTTTTTAAAATCTGAAATGAAAAGTTTTTGATTTAAAAAAAAATAGCAGTAGTTCATTTAAGGAATTAGTGTCTTCTGACAGACATTAAGAAATCTGATGTCAGTTTTCAAACACTTGATTAGCCAGGTCCAAAAGATCCTTGATTTGGAGAGGGCCACATTCTTCATGTACACTTTTTCAAAAGTTTCTTTTTAGAGTCTACAGCTTTTCTCTTAGTCTCACGTCCTTCATGTCTCTGCCTCAGGCAATGCCGTAAGCCTCCCAGAGCCATGTTTTGAAAGGAGAGTCTGCCTTCCGACACGTCCTGGAGACATCCTACGCATTTCACACAAAATAAACTGCAAGCAGTTTCGTTAGCTTAGCAGCTCCAGTTCAGAGTCCTGTTTCTCAGTGTGTACGCATGGTGCAACCATCATAGGCTAGATTCTTTGGGAGGAAAGTCAACATTCGTCACCATCGTGACCACTGTTACAATGTCCTCTGTGGTAATGATACTTGTTAGTCTTTGCATCTGAGTAATTCTTTCACCTACACATCCAGCCGATAACCTGGCTTCTGCATCGTGATCCCAACATTCTTCTATCGTTTCACAGAGCATTGCCATTCCCTGAAAAGGAAAAACACAGTCAAACATGACAGCAATTTTTGTTTTCTATTAGGAAATAGAATTAAACTTTCATAAGTTGCTATTTTTGTGGCTGAAAGACAGACAGTTTCAAGATTAGCCAACTTTGATGATATCCATCCACATTCACTTTTGAGAATCTATTCTATGCAGGAACATGAAAAGCACTAAGAGAAATCACCTTTTCTTTCAGCACTGGAGACTATCACAGCAGGTGATTTGTGTTTTTAATTCCAAAAATCCCTGTCCACTGCTCATAAACAAGCATAATTTTTAAATGCTAACCTTTGAACTGGATTCAAAACCAAGGCTTTGGGAAGTGTACCAAATTTTATTGTTTCCTTAGTTAATATCATTTCTAACTTGCAGTTAAATAAAAGGGTTATAAAGTCATCCTTAAGGATTCTCTACCTGGCGTTATCCATGTTTCTAGTTATACCTAGACCAAAATAACCAAGCCAGTACTGTTCCCACCTTGGCCTGTCTAGTCTCTTAAATTCTTAAGAACTTGAAAATCTTCCAATCCCTAATCAAAATGCTAAAACTGCCATGGAGAAGAGAAAACTGGGTGCTTCGCTTTTTAAAATGGCATCACGTGGAATGGTGGTGATCAGCAAGGTGACCCAACCATCCACAAGTACTCCTTTCCCTGGGAAGGTTTCCTAAGAGGGGGCATCCTCATCTGCACAGGACAAGAGGGATGACAGTCCCCTAAGGCTCTATGACCTCACCACCACCTCCCTCATGAGTACACAGTTACAGCCCTAGTTCTGTTGTTTATAGAACTCTAGGACAATATCCTGTTTGAAGATCACCTCCCCAGAA